CTCGCCCGCGATACCTCCTCGCCCCGCCATCCCCCCTTCGCCCTCAAGGTGGTCGACAAGTCCGCCGCCCACCCCCACGCCGCCCGCCGCGCCCACCACGAGATCTCCGTCCTCCGCCGCCTCTCCTCCGGGGAAGACGGTGGCGCCGTCCACCCCTTCCTCCCCCGCCTCCTCGGCTCCTCCGAGGGAGGGGGGCTCATCTGCTGGGCCACCCCCTTCTGCCCCGGCGGCGATCTCAACGACCTCCGTCACCGCCAGCACGAACGCGCCTTCTCCCCCGCCGTCATCCGCTTCTACCTGGCGGAGATCGTCTGCGCCCTCGACCACCTACACCGCCGCGGCATCGTGTACAGGGACCTTAAGCCGGAGAACGTCTTAGTGCAGCGGTCGGGCCACGTGACCCTCACGGACTTCGACCTGTCGCGTGACCTGCACGTCCCGACCCCAAAATCAGAAATTCCGGTGGATGAAAATCCCGTCAAGCGCCCGCCCGCGACCCGTTACTTCACGCGCCTCCTTATCCCCGCCAGAGGAAACCACGCTCAACGACACAAAAAGGGAACTAAAAAACCGAAAAGCGCGCGTGTCTCACCTGCCAGCCGGAGGCCAAACCCCGGCGAACTTCCGACCAACGAGCGCTCGAACTCCTTCGTCGGCACCGTAGAATACGTCGCGCCGGAGGTCATAAGTGGCGACGGCCACGAGTTCGCCGTCGATTGGTGGGCCCTGGGCGTGCTCTGTTACGAGATGCTGTACGGTGCGACGCCGTTTAAGGGGCGGAATCGGAAGGAGACCTTCCGGAATATACTGCTGGCTGAGCCGGCGTTCATGGGCAAACCCGACGCGCTCACGGATTTGATAAAAAGGCTGCTGGAAAAGGATCCCACGCGCCGCCTGGGGTACGGCCGAGGCGCGTGTGAAGTCAAGGGGCACGAATTTTTCCGGGGGCTGAGGTGGGATCTACTGACGGAAGTTTCACGGCCGCCGTTTCTGCCGTCAGCTGGTGACGAGGCTGATACGGCGGAATGTGGGACTGATGTAACTGAGTATTTTCAGAAACTCAGGCATCCGCCGTCGCCTTTACGGTCGCCGTCGACGGATGAGTGTCGGAATAATTTCTCGTTCTGAAGCACGTGTGAAGCGGGTGTAATCTAATTGTTCTTTTACGAATTTTTTTTTTCTTTTAATTTTATTTTCTTTCTCTATAGTTTAGTTTGTAAATAAAATAAGTTATTAGAACCTGACTGAAAACCTGAGTTGATCTAGCAAATTGGGTGTAGTCTAATTATTTCAAGATTCAATCGTACAAGTGGTGCTGTGTATATATCTAATTTGTCATGTTGAGTCTACCCTAATTATTCTCTTATTAAAAACGTTAATGTTTAACTTTTATACGCGCGTGAGAAGCGTGGTCCATGATGCGGATAAAAATTAAAATGGTTGTTTCTGATGGTCCATTGTTTTTTGGTGTCATTGGTTTTCACTTGGATTAGAGGAAAAGAATTTTGTGTGTAAATTCTATTTTTGCTTCGCTATTTGGTGGAGTAATTGGAATCATCATTTTGCTGGCTTCTTTATAGAAAAATTCTTAACTTGGAAAAAGTTAAGGAAAAGTGCTGATTGCACAGGTTTTAATTCCAATTATAATGATTCTTCTGGTAATGTTTAAATTTCCTAAAATTGGCTAAGAGTTATCGAACCTTTATTTTGAATTTCCCCAAAGTTGAATTTCATCTTGCTTAGCTTTTTAAGTTTAGTTTGTTTGGTTTGGTTTTCATGACCTTGTTGATCTTTGGAGGGGGAAGGTTTAACCTTTCTCGTGGCTTTGTGGTGATTTTCTCCTGGACATCTTTAGCTTTGTAGATAAATTAATTTTGCCATGTGCTAATTAAATAGAGGTGATGTGAATCCACATCATATGGATGTTGATTCTACAACATCTCAAATTTTACGTGTCCCTCAATGCATAATGTAAACACTTATTAAATATTATGGGCTTTTGAGAATTTTTTATGTTGGGCTTAAATTTTCAATAAACCCAAATTTTTGGCCCCTCTGTTTGTACAAAGACAGATTATTAATCTCCTAAACACCATGTAGAACATAAACAAATTAATAAAAAAAAATTACGGAGAAGCTTTGCGGCTGCTCAGTCTTCTAAATTCTAATATCAAGATTGAAGGCTTGCCTATCTACTCAAATCTCTAATTTAAAGATTGAGTTGCACAGGTAAATTTCTCACCTTCCATTTATTTATATTTTTCGTTTTTTTATCATACTCTTATAATATTTTGTGGAGTGTGCATGTTTCGATGTTATATTCATTGTGTAGTATTTATTTATTTGGTTGCCTGTAATATGCATTTGGCTTGTTTATTTGATCAATTATGTTTGATTACCACAAGATTAAAATAAGTACCTTAGTTATATTATATAGATTAATATTGTTGATAACTTCTACGAGNAAAAGATGTCAAATTTTGGTTATGATTCAGACTCCAATAGTTCATCATGCAGTGATTGCGAACTTTCGTTAACTAAAAAGCTATTGGATGAGCCTACAGGAGATGACACTCTCGATACAGAAACAGATATGGATTTGGTTCAAACATGTCTACTCCATGTCCCTTTAATAGTTTCGACGATGTTGGTCAAAGAAAAAGGTCGTCATGGCGGGTCTACAAGTGAGAGATGCTATATACATCGTGATAGAAAACGACATGATGTAATTGTCAAGACGATTTTAGTGGCGAAAATTCGAAGACCAATTTTGCCGTCGTTTTCGAATGACCATTGAATTGTTTGAATGTATTTCAAAAGCAATTCAAAGTTATGACAATTATTTCACACTAAAGTTTGATGCCATAGGGAAGCCTGGATTACCTCCTTTACAAAAAATGCTTGCATCAATACGAATGCTGGCATATGGTTGTCCAGCAGATTCTCTTGATGAGTATATTCAGATTGGAGAAACCACTGCAATTGAGAGCTTGAAAAAATTTTGTGATGCTATAATTGGTATCTTTGGAGAACGGTATTTAAGAAAATCAAACGAAAAAGATATTGCAGGGTTGTTGGAAGAGGGAGAGAGACGTGGATTTCCAGGGATGCTTGGTAGTTTGGATTGCATGCATTGGCATTGGAAAAATTGTCTAACGGCTTGGCACGGAACAACATACTAATGGGTTCAAAAGAGTTCCGACTCTTATTTTAGAGATTGTTGCTTCACAAAATTTATGGGTTTGGCATGCATTTGTCGGAATGGCCGGTACTAATAATGATATTAATGTCTTAGACAGATCTCCATTGTTTGATGATCTTATTAACGAAAAAGCTCCGACATGTGACTTCGTAGTGAATGGTCATCATTACAATATGGGGTATTACTTATAAGATGGAATACACCCACAATATGCCACTTTAATTCAGACCATCTCTAGTCCATCTTCAATGAAGAAGAAGTTATTTGCCAAGTGGCAAGAAGCTGCACGAAAGGATGTGGAACGAGCATTTGGTGTTTTGCAAAGTCGATGGCATATTGTTAAAGGGCCAGTACGTATGTGGAATGCTCAAGATTTGGAGAAAATTATGAAGACGTGCATATTACACAACATGATTATTGAAAATGAAACTAACCAAGGCATGAATCCTGAGAGTTGGCAGCCAGAACAAATTAGGCGAAAGGAAGTAAATGATAATGTCATTTCAGAGCATGATTTTTCTTATCTCGTGTCAAGAATGACTAGCAGAATGAAGGAGATACAAAACAAAGAGTACACAGGGAGTTAAAGACTGATCTCATCGACCACTTATGGAACTTACATGGTGGTCAACAAATTGATTAAATTATTATTGTATCTTGAACTTAAAAGTATGAGTTTACTTTTGTACTTTTATTTGTTCAATGATTATTATTATTTTTTCTTTTAAAAAAATATTATTTCAATTTATGGTGGTGTAATAAACTCAAGTGTTAGTTTAATTGTGTGAATGGGAAAACTCTAATTTATTCGAGCAAGACATGTATATGTTATTAACACTCTCATTTGTGAATCATCTGATGTATTTGCTTAATACTTTGACCTGAAGAATTATAATAGACTAAGACCATTAAACTATCATGGGGGCTGATGTATGTATACTTGTTTCTTCATGTTTTTGAGAGAGCATTGGTCAAATCTTCTCTGGACAACTCGAGATTGTTGAGCTCCTCCTTTTTTTGGGTTAAGGTTTTCAAAGAAGAAACTAATCTCGATCTTGCTAGAGCTCGAAATAAGTGATCGAAGAATAAAAGTTCACTAGAGAGTGCTTTTGAGCTGATTGTTTCTTGCAAACCAAGTCTTTTCTTTTCTGAAGATTGGTCAACGAGAGATATTACAAATTTTAATGCTCCTGCTCTTTCACATGGACACTTTTCTCCAATTCGCTAATTTTTTTCTGAATTCATGCGGTCCTCGACAATTGCTCGCTCGAGCGAGCTGAACTTGGTTAATGTTGGTATGGATCGAGAAAGCTTTTCTTGTGCTTCAACAAGTTTTTTTTTTCTTATAGAATATATTTCATTCAATAAATCTATAGTAGAAGTTATAATAGAAAGAGTCAAAGAGCTACCTACATGATTTTTAAAAAATTTGCCACGTTGGGCAAATTTTAATGTGCTCAGTGTCTCAACAATGAGATTGATAACATCATGTTTACTATTTAAGTTGCATTAAATTAATGGACATGAAATGCTGGAATTAATATATATGTGTGTGTTTGTGTGTGGGTGTGTGTCTCTGTGTGTGTATATATTTGGGAAATAAAATAGCCAATGATAAGACTACAAAATTTGAGCTCACTAGCACATACAAATATGCAGCATATTAAGCACTAGGTGAGCAAAAATCAACCACTCTCACATATATTTCCAGTATCTAGACTGATTTCATCATTCATGAACAAAGCATTACCATTTACATAATGATAGTCTTCAGGTGATGACTCATGAAATGCCTTTGTCATATGATATTTGACACTTCATGAACAAGATGCACCACAGGACATCTTGTTAAATAAGACTGACATACACAAAAACAAAAGAAAATAACAACATTTAGTTCAACATGGTAATCTTGCACCAACTTTAATATTAGTCCAAGTCTTCTCTTCAAGCCTCAAATCCTGAATATAGAAAAAAGATAAATTATTTATCAAGATATTTTTTTACTTAAAATTTAATAAAAAAACACATAGTAGTATACCTGTGAGTTTGCCATATCAGTTTCAAATATATCATCTTTTTTCCCATTCTTTAAAAATCTTGGCTTGCATGGCTTCATATGCACTTCTAGCTACATGTGTAAGCTTACTCAAGTCTTGGTTCATTATCTGTTCTTGCCGTTTTCTCCTTTGTTCCTTCATCTTCATTTCCATCTCCCTATTTAGTGCTTGCCTTTTTAAACCATTTTTTTTAAGCACTCATCACTAGAGAAGCAGGCATAAACAAAAATAATAATAATGAAACACAAATAACTTGAACTTCAGTCTCTGGCACATGGAAAAGGATGTAATTAGACAAATTACCTCTAAACAATTCAAGAAACCTAGAAAAATATTCACAGATCTGGAATGCAAAAATTATCGCCAAGCTCACAGTAATTCAACCAAATTCAATTCAAATCAACCAAATCCTACTGTAATTGAATAATATCAACAGTGGAAAGGGAAAAAAAATGCTATTTATTCCAAGAAAATATATATCAAACCTGGCCACATACACGATGAAGAAAAAATCACATACCAGATTTGTTTTGTGGTATGCACGAGAAGAGAAATTGTTTTTTCTAGTTTCACAATTGGTAGAATTGTGGGTGCCCGCCAAATTTCCCCCCCAAAGATTTCCTGCGAATTTGAGAATTGGTTTGCCTCTTGTCCCCAATTTTGATGAGTCATCCTGTGGAGAAGGCTGTAGATATTCTACATTCTCTATCACAGTGTGAGATTAATTATGGCCAACTCAGCACAACATTTATCTTTTATTTTGTCATTGGAAGCCAAAACGTGGAGTGCTAGTGAATTACTGATTACATTTTTCATCACAACAACATACCACGTTGGAGATGCTCTGACTTAGAAAAAAAAATATAAATATATAAGCATTTTTTATTTTTATTTTTTTATGAATGTGTGATAATTTATTATTATCTCATAGGTAGTATTTATCTATTAGTTACTAGAAATTCTTGTATAAGTCAACTTAATCATTAATTAGTCGGGTTGACGATTTTTCTAAGAAACCAAACACTGATTTCTTAATACAAACCAGTTACCTACATGGCATCCTAAGTGGCTTTTAAATTAGTCTAATAATTATTTACGTAAATTGTTTATTAATTATAATTTAAAGAATCATTTTCTCTCTCCATTCTTTTTCGAATTCTTCATCTTTCATACGTCTTCTCCTTCAAAAAATCTTTTCTCATTAATCACTTCTCCTTCAAGAAACTTTTTCTCAATTAATTACAATAGTTGAAAAGTGAACAAGAGAGAAAACTCAACTCACGATGGCTTCTTCTAGTTAGTTTTTATATTATTTCTAGTGTTTTTTTTTCATGTACATTGGTACTGTAAGCACCAGTGGGAAGGTGAATCTGACTGGGATAAATCGAGCCTGCTGCATTCCCGAGTACATGCCGAGAACTGCGGCCGACATACCGTGGGTCGATTAACACTTGATGATTGCTTTCCACAGGGAAACATCGGTCGGGAAATTCGTCGAACAAGTGACGGGGCATAGTCGAGTTTTCCAAGAGGAGCATTGAATTGCTGTGGATTTGTGATCTGGGGTTTTTTTTTTTTTTTTT